TTAAGAAGAGTTTGAACACAGCTATCCTGCATAGATGGACAATGCTTCCACTAGAAGACAGGGGTTATTGAATGGAAGTCTCAGTGCTAGGCACTGAATACTTCCTAACAAGTCTAGAGATCCCCTACCTCCCACCAAACAACAAAAGATATTGTCATATAGATAATAAGACCCTATTGCTGAAGGCAGAACACATTTCGGTCGCAAAACAGAGAACAAGCTAGAATTGACCTGAAAACTTCCTTCCTGCTGGCTAACTTTCATTCTGGCAGGTTTTATGCAGGCTGTTGGGAGAGAAAAGTCAATGATCATGTACCCTGGTTTCCAGGAAAGATGTGCCTACTGGTGCAATAGTGGCATGAAAGTTGTGGGAGTAACCAACCACTTTCTGCTTATATCTGATGCTTGCTCCACAGGAGGGAATTAATGCCTAGTACCACAAACCCATCAAAAGCCCATGGCTGGGGAAGATACAAACTCTAGTAAGGGAACCTACTACTGTTGCTTTGCTAAATGGAAATGTTAACTTGCCGACTAAGTATTTATGTTTATACCAATAGATTAGTGCTCCTTTCAGCCTTGGTCAGAGATGTTTCTTTCTGCAGTGGGCAGCAGTCAATATAGAGACCTAAAACTACTCAAAGTGCTAAAAGTGACTTCTGAGTACTCAGCCCTAATGAGACATTTGGGACAATGGGACAAGCTTGGCTCATGGAGTATTATGGAAAAGAGAGCAGGGAAGACTGTGACTGACAGAGGATGGAGAGGAGTGCTGTGAAATGCAGTCTTCTGGACATGACATGAACTCACAGCAGCTACAACAATCTGCACAAAACCAAGCCAGTCAATAATTCTAGCATGGATGGGAAGGGACTAATTAGGCTCTACCTTTACCTGAGGAGGTATTTGCAACTGATGGCTGCTGGGGAAGAGGGGGCTCATTTTTCTTCCAGGGATGTGGTACTGGTAGGTTGCCTTTGCTCAAGTAGGCAGCACTCATTGGACTCAGTGGGATGGATGAGTGGATGGATCGATAGTCAGTAAAGTGATAGATTAGCATGCATGAGGCCCTGGGTTTAATCCCCCAGGATCACATAAACCGGACATGGTAGAGTATTTGCAATCTCAGCACTAGGGAAGTGGAGGAGGCAGGAGGATCAGAAGTCAAAGGCCAACCTCAGTTACATGGGGAGCTTGAAGGTAGCCTGGGCTACTCAAGACCCTGTTTTTTTCCCCTTCCCCCATACAAAAAAAGCACATTTAGGAACAGAATGCATAGCTACTATTATTGGGTGCTAATAACTTCTATGGGTTTAATTCTGTTAGAAAACAATGTTCTAGTTAAGAATTTGCCATGATGCTCCTCTTTAGTACTACAGAAAAATAATTTTGATGTTCTCTCATACTGGCAAATTTGGGGGGTTAAGATAAAGGCTATATTTTCAGCGATTACTCCTTACTCCAGTTACTCCCCTTGCTCTGGTTTCACCATACGATATCGAACTGATGCTGTGATTAGACAGGCGGCCCTATCCATCAAATTCCTGAACACACTGAAGGTGGCTCTAAAGTAAACACACTTCTGTTCCAAATGTCAGTGGCAACTCTTACTTTAACTAGGGAATGGAAGGTTTATGTTCCCCTGGCCAGCTCAAAAAGTGTGTAGAACTACATGGGACTACTGAGACATCTTGAAGACCAACTTGGGATTTCATTGCATAATATCAAATTCTGAGGACTTGAGAACTAGAAATCTTGGAGAGAGTTTAAAGAGCCACAATGATTATTAACTCTGGCAAGTTGTAGAAATGGGTAGATAATTATAGGATGTGCTTAAAAGACAGAAATATAGAGCAATTTAGAGGAAAAGGAAAAACAAATACAACTGAGAAGGCTTGAGTTTGTGGAAATATGTGGGAATCAGTACATCCTGAAACATGAATTAGCCATACTCTACAGTGCTTTTCAAAATCCAAACCAAATATAATACATATAAGGGTATTGTACTTTTTGAAAGAGCAGTTTCTAGACATTTACACATTTACTGAGGAAGCACTTGTATTTTAGATACTTCAGGTGCTGGGATAAAGTGGGGGAAAGGACAAGATCTCTACAGAAACAAGATTTCTAAATTGTATATGATAGAGCTAGTTGCGTACATCAGTTTCTGTATTCTGTAGTCAACTTCTAATATTCCAAATACCCCGACCTTCTGGAGGTTCGGGTCCCATTTTAACATTTTCGATTCCGTTCCGTGCTTAGCTGAGCACCGTGTAAGCAGTTAAATATGTCTTAAGATGTTAAAAAAAAAAAGCCTTTAAAAAACTAAAAATGGAAAGTACACACTTGTCTGACCGTCCAGTGCGTAGATAGAAATCTAGTTTTCACGTAAGCCTAATCAATTTTCGAACCGACTAGGAGCAGACCAGTTTGCAACACAATGCTTTGTGTATACAAGGTGTGGTGGGAAAGGATTCAAACTGCACATGCTGATAAATGGGGTGGATATCCTGGCCCTGCGGACAGCCCTTCCTCCCGTCAGGTTCCCTTCTAAGCCTCGGCTGGAGGCCTCGCGGTGGCGGGCCGGCTGGAAGCCCCGAGCTCGCTCAGGCAGCAGCGGGTGCGGCTCCCGCCCACTCGGAGCCGCTCGGCGCGGCCTCGGCGTCCCCCAGAGGAAAGGCTGGGCGGCGCAGCCAGGCTCGGCGTCGCCCACCGCGCTCGGGCGCTCCACCGGGGAAGCGGGACGCTGCGCGTGCTCCGCCAACCTCGCCG